AAGGTTGCAGGAACAGCAACTCATATTCCGCTTGGGAACCCTGCAGCCCAATGGTATCAATGTGGATTTCACAAGCTTCAAAATCTCCCCTCCCCCTACCGCATCCCAAAACCAGTCCAGCTCGTCCCTGCCTCCCTAACCTGTTCTTCCTCCCACCTATCCCCTCCTCCCACCTCAAGCCGCACCTCCATCTCCTACCGACTAACTTCATCCCGCCCCCTTGACCTGTCCGTCCTCCCTAGACTGACCTATCCCCTCCCTAACTCCCCACCTACACTCACCTTTACTGGCCCCATCCCCGCCTCTTCGACCTGTTTGTTTCCTCTCCTCTATCCATCTTCTGTCCGCCCCCTACTCTCTCCCTATTTATTTCAGAACCCCCTTCTCTGATGAAGGGTCTAGGCCCGAAACGTCAGCCTCTCTGCTCCTATGATGCTGCTTGGCCTGCTGTGTTCATCCAGCCCTGCACCTTGTGATCTTACTTAATGCTGCCTTTTAGTAGAATGGGACCGATGGTCATTATACTGCAGCACCTTTGCATAGGAAATTAGGGAGTTTGTAGTTTGTTGATCCTAGTTACTTAAAGCGACGGTCTCACGTCAAGACAACTGCTTGATTTACAAGCATTTTAAAAATAATTAGTTTTGGCAAATTGCTGATACCAGGATTATACGGGTGATAATTGTATCATTGACAAATTAGGGTCATCATTAATCGCTGCACATAGCATTTAACTTCTGATAGTAGTTCTGCCACTAAAAACAACTGCAAAGACGGAGTTACATTGTAACATTTGTCAATAAGTAATACCACGGAAATGTACGAACTTTGCAAGATCCATCTCCGATTTAAATGTAATTATAATGTCGAATGCACTCAACAATGAAGCTGAGGCCTCTAATGGATTTACTTCATTGAACCAAACACATTCATAAGTTTATAAGATGTGCAAATTAAGTTAAAGGCGAAATTATTTCTACACAGCATCAGAGAGTCCCTCCCACTTGCGCTCAGCTGCCAACATTCTTGAAAAGTGCCAAATGTGATACTTAATTTGACACCACCTGAGAGAGTCTGCAATAGGCAGACTGAAAAAGATATCCTCTTTAAATAAGCGAGGAAGCCGAAGTTTTGATCTGGCTCTCAGACATTTCATAAAAACCGAAAAAACTGTACATGCTGAGAAAGCTCAGCAGGTCAGGCAACAGAACGGAGGAAGGATCACTGAACTTGAAACGTTAACTCTGATTTCTCTCCACAGACGCTGCCAGACCTGCTGATCTTTTCCCGGCAATTTCTGTCCTTGTCTCGGATATTTCAAATCATTTCAGGATTTATCACTAGCTGCCGTGATGCTACATGCATCTCCTCTTTAATACTTGCACGCACCTTGTTTCGAGAATTCGTTCAGATTTCTGATGTGATTTTCTTCCTCACGAGAGGCCATCTTTGCTCGGGACTGTGAGTGAGTTACTCCGGTCCCGGATTTGAAATGTAAACAGGAAGCGGAGAGATTGCCCGATGCTGGCTCACCTCCAGCTGGACCTCACACTCCCGAAGGAGCTGCAGTCAGGTAATTCTCGAACACGCCTTGGAAACAACGCCACAGGGAACAAAAGGATTGTTTCATTGAAAGGAATCTAGTAGTTCTAGATGGGATTGAAAAAGAAAGTGGTTATAAATTAAGCTTCTGCTTCAAACGTTTGGGTCTGAACCGTCCAATTTTCTTATTTTCTTGGCTTATGATTACATTTAAAAAGGAATTTGAGTGTAATCGCGGTATTGCCAAGTGTGTAAGCTCTAATATGTGTAAAATTACTACAGGGAAATGCATGCGTATAAAAGTCAATTTATGACCTTTCAGCAACCAGTTAGCAAATTCCACACAGTATTTAGAAACCAGTATAATACTGATTTTAAATTTTCCATTAACTTGATTGGGTTCAAAGGGCAGTCTTTTGGGACGTTGTTTCCCCATTTCCACGTTGGAACAGACGCGCAATTGAAGATGTTAAAATAGGAAGTGTGGAATAGACTAGGGGGCCGGTACGTTACACTTGAAGCCTAAAATTGCTCTAAAGGCTGATCTCATACTGTAATTTTAAAACTTAGTTCGAGTTCGGTAGGATAAGTGCGGGGTTAGTTATAGAACCCTGATGATCCTTTACGCGGCGAGAGCTCCACTATATTTGCAGATTAGTGGTAGTGAGATAGCAACCGTGAACCAATTGGAAAACAAAGGCACAACTCCTGGGTTTTGAACTTGTGGTGATAGTTCAAAAGCTGATCGATTCTGTAAAGTGTATCACCACGTAAATATAGAGTCTGGATTCAAATAGCGCCTCACAAATATAAACTTATGAAGTGTAGTGTAATGTCTGAAACGCATTTTGAGTTTTCAAGCAGCACACTGTTTGGAATCACAGAATGACATTGAAAGAACTAGTTCTGGGACGATTACAACTTTATCAGAGGCCTATCTCAATCAATCTCGCGCCTTTTCCTTCGGTCTCGATGTTGAAACGCATTAAATGATTTTCGTAGTACGTCTTCAATTCCCTTTTTAAAAATTACCACTGAATCTGCTGCTGCTGGCTTATCCGGATACTAAAACCACATCCAAACTCTTACTAGAGACAACAAGGTGCAGGGCTGGATGAACACAGCAGGCCAAGCAGCATCATAGGAGCAGAGAGGCTCTGCACCTTGTTGTCTCGGATTCTCCAGTTCCTACTATCTCTGATCCAAACTCTTACTGCCCTGTCTTAACTCGTAGCAAATCCTGCTTGCATGTCACCAGTGTTTCGACTTACTCTCCAGAAAGCTCTGTCTTAATTTTTAAGTAATCCCATCTTTGTTTTCAAATGTCTGTCCATAGCCTTTTCCCCTCATTTGTTTAATTTCATCCAGCTCCAAAATCTTCCAAACTATCCACGCTCATCCAATTCAGGCTACTGGAGCATCCCCAATATTAATCATGTAATTGATGGCTGTGGTTTCAGCTGTCCAGTCCCCAAGATCTGGAATTTCATCCTTAAATCCCACTGCCCTACCTTGTTCTCTTGTAAGGCACCATTTATCTGCCCCTCTCACCCATCTATCCATGTAGCTAGGTATCATACTTTGTATTATAATGACCCTATGAAGTACATGGAAATATTTTACATAAAAGGTGCTATAGTTAAGTTGTTCATATAATACATTGAACCTTTTTAAAATTTGCTGCATAAAAGTTCTCATCACACCCTGGATCATTTGAAAATTATCTTAATGGCTTGTGATTGCCGATTTTCCTGACTGTGTGAACAGCTGGCTTTTACAGCACATTTGATTGCAGTCAATGTCCTTTTATTCCAATCCCACATCACATTGTCTCTTCTACGTTAAGGCATTTCAAGGATTCATCCAACTAGTTCTTAAAATATATCTGAAAGGTTGTTGCATATACCACCTCTTAGTCTAATGTTCCAGCTATCCATCACTCTCTAGCTGGGGGAGAAAATCTCAAACAAAACTCTAAACTTTCTGCTCCTTACTTAAGCAGACATAGTTTATTGAACTCAATGTCAAAGCTTCTCCCTATCTTGTTAATGAAATGCAAAATTCTGAGGGCCAATCAGATCCTCTCGCAGCCTTCACTGCTCCAAAGAAAACTCCAACCTAACTAGTCTCTTCACAACTAAATTGCTCCAGCCCAGGCCCCATCCTGGTGAATCTCTTCTCATTCTGCCTTCTGCAATCACACCCTTCCTATAGCAAAGCATCAAGTTTTCCCACAGTACTCCAGCAATGGCCTCATTAGCATTACATACAACTTCAAATCATAATCTCTTGTATTCTAGGCCTTGACTCAAAGGCAAGTATCTCACATGCCTTCACCACCTTATCCACCTACCTTGCTGCCTTCAATGACTTATGGACTTAAAACCAAGGTCCCTCTGTAGATCCCAGGGTCTCACTATTCAAAATCTACTCTCCTACTTTGTTAGTCCTCTCAAAATGCATTGCCTGACTTCAAAAGGTGAAATGCAGTGGTACTGTTCAGCCCATCTAACCATCCTGTCTATAGTGTCTTGTAGTCTAAAGGCTTTCCTGACTATTTATCTCACCACCAATTTTCATGTCATTGTGACCTTTACAGATCATTATCTCCTGTACTGGCTTTGTCTTTCTATAACAGATCTAGCTTCGGACACCATTTTAGTAAATCTCCTTTGAAATAAAAGCAAAACAAGCAGACTTGCTGAGCTCTTTCAGCACTTAGTTTTCATTTCAAACCTCTTTTGGGCTCCTTCCAAGGCTTGAATATCCTTCATGAATTGTGGTGCCAAGAATAGGCTGCAATCTATTATTCAATGTGGCACTTAAAGATAACCTTCCTTTTGCATTTGCAGCCTCTAAGACCCAGTATTAAATGCAGTAAAGTATTTCCTTACACAAACAATTCTGTATAAAAGGAAACTTTACTTGTGAATGTATTTTCTTAATATAATTGAATAAACTCAGCTAAGAGCATCTGATAGAATTTACATATCAGGTTTTCTTCATCCAAATGGTTTGTGAAATAGTTGCAAGACAAGAATAAAACACTTTAAAACCAATGATTATCAGATGCTGCTAATATTGCTGAATAGGACAGATATCACAAGATGGAACCAACAGACACTGAAAAACTGTTATTCTTAAACAATTATAATACAGCAACTCTGCCAAACAACACCAGCCATCAACTCCAATATTTATAGGTTTGGATGGGATTTTATTTTAACATTTCCAACCAGCTGATAACAATTGGTTGTACAAAAAATTCTTAATTATACATATCACATCTACTCACTGTTTGAACTACTCAGGAAATCATGGGAAACAGACTCAAACCTATGTGTGCAAGTTCTTAATGTTGAACTGTTAATAGCTTTGGCTCCTGGCGAACTATTCAGTAATATAACAATCTAGTTCCAATTTTCACCTACTCTTGGTCTTGATTTGCTTGCAGCTTGAAGACTGAATGAGATGACTGTTGCGGGACTGGGAGTAAATGCCTAATAGTGATGCTTTAGGCCATATTTTTCTCTGACCGTCAATGTTATATGTTTGTTATGAATCAGTGACAGCATATGCATATAATCAATCATGAGTATATCCAAAACATTGTGCATATTAATGCCAAGCTAGATAACAATCCTGTGATAGATACAGAATGAACAGCATTTTGCTTTAAAAGTATTCCTCCTTCTTATAGACATATTTGGGTATTTGACTTTGTTTGTTGTCCTGCAATAATATTATTGATTGAATCCGATCACTGCTAGGACTGGAATTTCCAAATAACTATCTTAATGCAGATGTTATAATGAATCACGAAGGGAGTCAAAGGATATATTGTTACACAGCACAATAACCCTGTGGTTATAGACAAAGTACATTTGATTTTTTTACATCCATTGTTCACAGAGGAAAACAGTTCGTATTTCATTCAACTATTTCAATTGTCTTTTGTACACTGACATATAGTTTACTTGATTGCTTTCCTTAAATTCTTTAAGATTTCTCTTCCATGTTTCTGTGAGGTTGTTGCTCTATTCCGAATAGGTTATTTCTTGAATAACTTTGTACTTTATGAAGGAGTGGAAATAAGTAAAATTGTCTTCAATAATGAAAATCAGAATCACAGAGCACAAAAACTGAAAATGTTGCATCTCTAAAGACACCAGTATGGGACATGGAAACATTTAGTGATTTCAAACAGCGAGAGCACTGATTAAGACAAAAGCAAGCCTCCTTCAACATTCCAGTCAACTGATGTTGGCATGAAATTAAAATTTAGTCAGTACAGAAACATGTTGATGTTCCAAAACAGAATATGATGTGCAGAAGTAACAGTCTTGTTCTACAATAATAAGTCTATTCACTTTTATTTTGTATCTACTGCAAAAAGGATTGCACTGTAGCAAAGTTTGACATTTCCCGATGAGATAAGCATTTAGAAGTCTACTTTATCTTTTTCTAACTTTATTTCATCGCAATAAAAGTTGCACAAATATATGGAATATAACAGCAGTGTACACACCTTCAGGCCTCTACAAACTAACTTTCAAAACAGATGTTTATATCATAATCAGTAATTTGACACTTATAGATGAGACTGAGTATGAAGTTGCTTTGAAAAGAACAATAATGAGGAATAAAAATTAAGTCAAATATTTTCTTGTATAATATACAAAGATCAAAACTCTATCATCTGATCTTCCCACAAAGAACAAAATTAGCATTCCAAAATCTTAAATCTTCATTCTTACAATTTTCTACTTTTGATTGGAGGCGAGTGGAATGGAGCTCCATTCCACATATTTGGGTCTATTTAAATAATCAAGTTAATCACCAGCTTTGGTTCAAAATGATTTGCAATAAAACTATTTTCACCATAAATACAGCTATAAACAAATTAAAATAATTCAATTTAAGTTTAGAAAATAAGAGAAAGGATATAATAAATGCAAATCCATTTGTTTGAATTAGTTTATCCATAATTCACCAAGAAAAATACTTAGAGTCAAGGGCCTTTATCAACATATCTTCCACAGTTAATTATCTTTGAAAAAAAGATGAGTTGCATAGGAAAGTAAAATTTAAATAATTTCTATATTCTTGGTAACAAGTTATGCAAGAAATTGACATTAATTTTCAATATCCTAATAATTTCTTCAAGATAAATTAAGTTTAGGTAGCTGATGCAAATGGTTTCATTATATTCTTGTATATCCATTTCATCTTTTGAGATGAGAATACTTACCATTTTGATCAGTTAAACTGATTGCTCTCATCTTCAATAGATCCAGATAAACTTAATTTTGCTTTATGCATACTCTGGTAGAAATTGTAAACAAATGATTTCAATTGCTGTAAACAGTTTTCTGCAAGTTTTAGCATTCTCAGACTTTTTCAAACAGATTTTATGGACTTCCAATTTAATACTTTGATTTGTATATCTTTCTATTTTTACAATACAAAAACATGAATAATTATAAACAATTGCTGGAGTGTGTTAAGTATAGAATGCTTCAATATGAAATGTATTCTTACGAAGTATGAAAATAAAACTTCCACTGTTTAATTTGGGACTTCACTGATGTTTAGCAGCATCTCTTGGGTAAAATTCTGCCAGTGTACTTTGAGGAATACGTTTCAACATCTCCTTGGGGAATATTCGGAGCAACTGCCAGCCAATATCCAAAGTTTCAAATACGGTCCTGTTTTCATATGGACCTATGCAAAACAAAACAAAATTTCCCCCCTTTATTTGGGCTGTGGTTTGTGTTTCTCAAAAATGAGAAACTTTAAATTCTAATATTTTTAAGTGAGAAAGCACTGAGCGCTTAAAATACCACAAGGCATTAGGTCTTGATGGGATGCAGCCAAGGTTACTGAGGGAAGTGATTGCAATGTCCAATGGGGCTAAAACTTTCCAGTTTTCCTTAGAATCCAGGTTTTGCCAGAGGACGGAAAAATTGCAAACATAACAGCCGTGTTCAAAAGAGTTGCAAAGATAAGTCCAGAAACTACAGAACAGTCAGTTTAACCTTAGTGGTAATATTCACAGACTCGAGAAAGTTTATATCAAAGTTCTTCAGGGATTGGTAATGGTACTGTTGTCCTTCTTGTTATTTTAATGAACCAGATCTTGGACTACAGTGCATAATTTCAAAATTTTCATGTGAATCAATGTGGAAACATTGTGAACTGCAGGTAATGTGGAATTTCAGAAGGACATACATTGGTGGAATGGGTGGACAAGTAGCAAATTAAACCTAATGCAGAGAAATGTAAAATATTTCATTTTGATAGGGAGAATGCAAAGAAACAAGACAAAATGAAAGGCAAAGTTCAAAAGTTCGTCAGGGAGCAGAGATACCCATAAATCACTGAAGCAAGTACAGCAGTTGAGAGCATGATTAATAAAGCACAGAGCATCCTAGACTTTATTAACAGGGCATTGAACATAAAAGCAAGAAAGTTGTTAAACTGATATAAAGCGCTGGCTCTGCCTCAACTGGAGTATCATGTCTTGTTCTGAGCACCACACACTTCAGAAAGACATCAGAAAAGATTAATGAGAATGGTACCAAAATAAGGAACTCCAGTCATGTTAGATTGAAGTTGGGACTATTTTCCCTTAGGTTGAGAAGGGATTTGATAGAAGTATTCAAAATCTTGACGGGTGTGGACAGCATATTAAGAAAATAGCTTCCACTTGTGCAAGATTGAGAAAGGATGGTACGAATTTAAGGGAATTAGTTAAAAAAAGCAATGTGACATGAAATCATTTTCAAGCAACAAGTCATCAGGATCTGGGATGAACTACCCGAGTGTGTGGTGGACACAGGTTCAGTCCAGACATTAAAAGAGGGAATTGGATTGTTATCCAGAAGGGAAGAACATGCAAAGCTACAAAAGGAGAAGGTGGAGAGTAGCACTATAGTTTGTGCTATAACAATTGAGTAATGCAGATCTGGCAAATTCTAGATTTTTAAAACACTTTTAAATAACACTTATGAAGCACTTCTAAATAATAAAACATTCCAAGGTTCTTCACAGAAACATTACAAATCAAAAAATGGTACCACATCATATGGACAGTTATTAGGTCAGATGATCAAAAGTTTTGTCAGAGACAGATTTTAAGGAGAGATTTAAAAGAGGAAATTGAGGCAGAAAATTGGAGAAATGAGAAAAGAAAATCTTCACTCAGCAACTAATGGCACATCCAGCAATGGGGGAAGTAATTAAAATTAGGAATGCCCAAGGAGGCCAGAATCAAAGCAGCGCAGATATTGGAGAGTTGTGGGGCTGAAGATTACAGTAATATGGAGGAACAAGCCCATGGAGAACTGTGAAAACAAGGCTGAGCATTTTAATGTCAAGATAGTGCTTAATTGGAAGCCAAAGGTCAGTGAGCACAGGACTGCTGAATGTAAAAGGAACTTGATGTGTTAAGACATGTTCAAGAGTGTTTTGGGTGAGCTCAAATTTATGAAGGTTACAACGCAAGAGACCAGCCATGAATGCAATGGAATGGTCATATCAAGAGGTAATAGAGGTGTGAATGAGTATTTCAACAGATGAGTCGTGACATGAGCAAAGTCAGATGAGGTTAGAGAGGTAAAAATACGTAGCCTCAGTAAGCCTAAAAATGACTTTCAGGGTCAAATGAGAGCTGACTGGTTTCATCCCAAACTGCGGGCAGGAAGAGGGCGTGAGGTTGTAGCTCAGGAACGGCATTTGGGGCAGGGAACAAAAACAATGGCTTCAGTTTTCCCATTACTTAATTGAAAAAATTAATCTACCCATCCAGCATTGCAGGTCAGAGAAGCAGTCTAATAACTTAGCAAGAATAAGAGTCTAAAGGGACGTACAGCTGGGTGTTATAACCTTCTCTGTGCATGTTGTTGGATGTTGCAGCCAAAGGCAGCATGTAAATAAGAACTAGGAGGGGGCAATGGACAGGGCCTCAGGGACACAAGGGGCAACAGTGCAGGAGCAGGAGAATGCATTGGAAGTGATACAGATAGATAAGCAACAGCAGTCCCAGCAGATGAATGACAGTGGAGAGGCTCTGCAGGAGATTGATCAGGCCAATTGCATCAAAGGCTGCAAACAAGTGGAAAAAGGGGGAGGAAAAGCATGCCTTTGTCAGTCAAATAGGATGTCATTTGAGAGTTTGGCAAGACTGGTCTCGATACTGCAGCAGAGCAGAAACCCAATTGGAAAGATTCAAAGATGCAGGAGAGATGAGTGAGGATTTAGGAAGTGACAGCATGTTAAAAGGATTTGAGGGGAAAGGCAGGTTGGAAACGTGGCAGGAGTTTGTAAGAATGGTGGAAGTAAAAAGGGGGTGAACTTTTAACAATATCAGCTAATATGAGGAGCAAGAAGGGAAGTTGGTGACCAGCGGGTTAGTGGGAATAGGGCTGAGCAACAAAAGACGAGGGTCATGATCAAGGTAAGCTCAGAGCAGGGATCAGAAGAATTTGAAGAGAAACTAAAAATTGCAAGTTTGGAGACTTGAGCAGGGGAAGAATTTTGACTAGGTAAAGTTGAATGATCCAAAATGATCTTACATCAAAGTATGTGATGTAGGGTGTGGTGTGGGTAAAGAGAGCACATGTGTGTGTATAAACATACCTTGTGCAATGAAGTTTTTCTCAAATTTATGCAGAAATTCCAAATATAACAGATCATCAGGTGTGAGAGCTTCCTCACCAACTACAGCTTTCATGGCTTGGACATCTTTGCCAATGGCATAGCAAGCATACTGTGGGGAGAGAACATTTCACAACTTATTCACTAATTTTTAAGTGACATTGGTTGGTTAAGGCATCCAATAAGCAAGTTATTAGAAAATTCAAATCTACATATACATCATTTAGTGAAGAAAAAAGATCAGAGTTAACATTTCAGGGCCTGTAACGTTAGCTGATTTTTTTCCTTCACAGATGCTGCCAGACCTGCTGAGCTTTACCAGCAACTCCTGTTTTTATTCCCGATTTACACATCCACAGTTCTTTCGGTTTTTATACATCATTTAGTATTGTTAAAGCTTCAATATCTCAAAGCACTACATGTCAATGAGATGGCCAATGTAAACAGCTTTTTTGCTCTCGATATCCTAATTTACATCTAATTTAAATTGCACCACCTCAGGCAAATGTCAACCCTCAAAATATGCTTTATCCTCTACTCACTTTGCATTAAAAGGATCAGTCACAATTTGGAGTGTTATGGTGTAGCCTCATTTGCCACAAACTGGGCCAAGACTGATGTTATAATTATCTTTGCTTTGTAAGCTAGAACATAGAAGAAACTTTGATTTCAGACTCAAGTTTCAGAAGTTAAACATGGTGTTAATAACCCATTATCAGGAAACCTGTCAATGAACCACTGTGTAAAATAAAATCAGCACAAGATTTCTTTAACTGCATTAAGTACTATAGAACCTTACAATTCAAATTTAATTCTTCTGCCAAAGTAACAAGATGAAGGTATTTTCAGTTATAGGATACATCTCAATTTTAACTTGAATTCAGGCATTTATTTGAAAATTTTAAAACCTTACCAACTGATTAGAGACTTCAGGATGATCTTTCCGTGTCATACCTTCCCCTATTGCTGACTTCATTAATCGTGATAGAGATGGTAAAACATTAATAGGTGGATAAATCTGTAACATAGCAATTGAAAGATTGTAAATGCATTTCTTCTCATACGAATAGTTATATAAATGATTCCTGCATTGGATAACTAGTGGTATTTATATCTCCAGTTGTAGTATTTTTAAGGGGACAAATATTTTGTGGGATTGTAAAATCGCAACAAGTTGAATCAAAGGAAGCCAGCTAACAAATGAATGTTAAATAGAGCTTTGAGATAGCTGATGCAGCCTCTATGCAACCCAGTTTGGCCTACAAACACACCCCAAGTCAAATACAAACGAAAGCAGTGATGCACAAGGGTGAAAAATGTCTTTACTTTTCAGTTTGTTCACACCTTACAATAGCCTGATCTTGAACAGTAAAAGACATTGAAAAACATTAGGATTTGGCTGTGCAAAATTAATTGTTTTTAGTTTCCACTTTGGACAATGCATTACAACAGCCATGTCATCAATACAGTCAAATACGTTTTTTTTCCCTGCGCGCTATAGTGCAAAATCCTGGTCCACTTCTACAGCCTTTGCAGCTTCAGATAGGGTAGGAAGGAGGTGGGAAGGATGAGCATTCAGCTGGCAAGGGTCTTTGGCTTCCTTGGTCAAGAACATACTGCATCTGACTGCCTCATCCATTAGTTCCATTGTGTAGTGCATTGGTGTTGTCCAGCTTAGCACACGTTTTCCTGGTTGTCTCCACTGGAATTTCCATGCTTGCCTTCTCCAGCTAAGCGAAAAGCAGCTAGAGATTCTGTTCCACTTCTTTCTCAAGTGTCTTATGTCATTGTAGCCTGTTTTGAACACAGCATGACATAAACATGTGACTTTCCGTCACCATCTTTCATATCATCTTTATCACTAACAGGGCTTCCAGAGCAGTTGGGTTGTGTACCTGGCCTCTATGACTTGAGAGATCAGCTGAGGTCAGTAATTAGGCTTTTGGTTCCTAATCATCCCCAATCCATTCATCATGATGTTAGGAGGAAAGAACATCAGCTTGACACTCGAGGCCAGCAATGTCAAGGTACAAAGGACAGTGGTTTGTAATGATGACAATCATCATTTTTTTCTGCTTATACATTTTGTCCACTTTCCTGACTGACCTCAAAAACAGTAGAGGTTATCGAGACAGTTTTGTTACCTTCATACTGTGTGGCTAGTGGCTTGACATTCAAAGTATTGTTGCTTCTTGGCTTTGCTATCACAAGTGGCAGCAGCCTTTCAATGCAATTCATTGCAATGACACATTCCTTGCTTCACTTTCCACCATTAATATTTAATGATAAATCGTGTAAAGAGCAATCTAGTAAAAGACACTAAGTCTGGTTTCATTTTCAATAAAGTCTCTTGGTGCACTCTCATTCAGGGTCTGGCTGAGGCAATGTTGCAAGCAACTGCCTGTCATTGCTGACTTGACTGCTATAACCCCAACACATGGGAAGATGCTGTATCCAGTTTTTGAATCAGTCCAGCCATGCACTGCAGGTGAACTTCTCATGCGCCAGCCTTTTTGCCAGAGCTATTCCTATTTTATGCTGGTGTGTACTGAAGGGAAGAATGTTCTTCGCTTGACCTGCCTTGGCAGATACTGACAAGCATGCTTATCCTATTCCATGCTGAACAGGATGTGTGCTTGTCAAACTGTTCCAAGATATTCACCTTGTACTTTAGAATAGTTGACAAAATTTGATGGTAGAATCTCCGGTTCCTTCGTGATGTCCATTTATCGCTTTGTAGCAGTTTTCCACTTGCTGCATCAATTTCATTTTGTCTTTTTTTTAAAAAAAAAAGAAAACTTTGACCATTCACCTACAATCCATCCCAGCCTCTCCAACTCTTCCTCTAACCTCATTAATAGACCCTTCTATTTTTTCTTCATCTTCTGCTTCTCGACTTTCCCCTTAAATGCACTGATATTTTGTCTCACCTACCCCCTGGGGTAGGGAGTTCCAATTACTAACCACTCAAGTTTTTTTTTAATCCCCATGTGTTCTTTATTAAATTTTTTAGTGCACATCTTTAAGGCCCTTAGTTCTGATCTCACCCACAGCCACATCAACACATTCATAGCTTTAAAACCTTTGTTGTTTCATCCTTTTCTCTTTTTTTTTTAAGAAAAAAGCCTCCAACGTGTTCAGTTTTTCAAATGAATTAACTTGTCAGTTCTGGTATTATTCTAGTATTGTTTTGATCAGTGTTTTCATGACCTTTCCATTATACCCATGCCAGATAAGTTGAAAATCTCCAAGAGATTTTTGTACCTTAGGAAATAAATATTACTTTATTTTTAATTTACTCATGGGACGTGGGCATCACTGGCTGGGCCAGCATTTATTGCCCGTCCCTAGTTGCCCTTTAGAGGGTAGTGGTGAGCTGCCTTCTTGAACCTCTGTAGTCCATCAGCTGTAGGTAGGCCCACATGCTGTTAAAGCTGGAATTCCAGGATTCTGACCCAGCAACAATGAAGTCAGGATTGGGGGGTGGGCGGGGCTTGGTAAGGAACTTGCAGGTTGGATATTGTCCAGGTCTTGTTGCCTGTGGTCATGGATTGTTTCAGTATCTGAGAAGTCACAAATTGTGCTGAACACTGCAGTCATCAGCAAACATCTCACTTCTCACCTATGGAGGAAAACAGCTGAAGATGGTTGAGCTACGTTGCTACTTTAGCTCACCAAAAACCAATTTGCACAAAGCAAAAGTCACAAGGTTTAATTAGCTTATTTGTAGAAACATTTTGGAATAAGTGCAAGCTCAATTGTGCATCTGAAATAATTTCTTGGAGTTGTTTAAATCCATATAAAGCCATAAACACAGGAGGCTTCTAAATTTATGGATCCACTGATTAGACACCATTAAATCAAATTTCAAACTTACACATTACTTGTAAACCCTCTTCTTAAAAGGTACCTTTCAACTTATTTCTATGCATCCTACCTGTCTATTGTGTAACTGGCGGTCAACATAGACCTGCCCTTCAGTGATGTATCCAGTTAAGTCAGGAATCGGGTGAGTGATATCTACAAAACAAAAATAATTTTAAATCGCAAATCAGAATTAATGCATGCTTCCAATCAATTTGTAGTAAGATGTATCTTTCATTTGGTGAAGTGGAAAGGTTCAGATTTTACCATGGCAATGACAGCAAATTGCTAGTATTTATCATAATTACTCTACTGAAACCAAGAACCTAAGGATTCTGATTACATGCAATTAAAATGGAAATCCATCAGCTGGTGATAGTGACATTGCAATTCTCCAGAGGGTTTGCTCAGACAGTCTGAGATCTACAGCAGAGAAAAAGGCCCTTTGCTCCATCATGTCTGCACTGGTCAAAAACAACACCCAAATATTCTAAGCCCATTTTCCCAAGACCTGGCACATAGGTTTCAAGCCTTAGCATCAAGGACACATCTAAATGCTTCTTAAATGTTATGAGGGTTACTGCTTCTATCACCCTTACAGGCTCCAGATTTCCACCACCCTCTGGGTGAAAGGTTTCTCCTCATATCTCCTCTAAACTGTGTGCCCCTTGCTTTAAATTGCCCTTGATGGGGGAAAATCAACAACCATGGGCAAAGTTTCTTCTTGTGTAGCCTATCTTTGCCCCTCAATTTTATACAGCTCAATCATGTCCCCTCTCAATCTCCTATGCTCTAAAGGAAAATAACCCCAGTCTGTCCAATCTCTCTTCATAACTGAAACTCGCCAGCCCTGGCAACAAACTGTAAATCTCCTCTGCACTCCTCTCAAGTGCTATCACATCCCTCCTATTATGTGGATTCTGGAACTGCACACAGTTCTCTAGCTGTGGCCTAACCAACTTTTTCTTCAGTTTCAGCAGTAGCCTGTCTGCTCTTGAGCTCTGCCTTGGCTAATAAAGGCAAGCATCTCATGTGCCTTCTTAATTATTTTATCAAACTGTCCTGATACCTTTAGGCACTGGTGTACATACACAGCAAAGTTCCTCCGATTCTGTTTCCCAGGGTCTGACTGTTCATCATGTATTCCCTGGTCTTGTTTGTCCTAACCAGGGTGCATCAACTCTCATTTATTTGGATTGAATTCTATTTGTCGTTAATCAGCCCATCTGACCATCCTTTCTATATCCTTCAAAGGCTATCCTCCTCACTATTTACCACCCACCAATTTTTGTGCAAACTCAGTGATCCTACATCCAAGTTTAATCATTTGTATAAACCACAAACAGCAGGTGCCCCATTGGACACAGAAATCCAGTCCAAAAATCATGCCTCAACCATCACCCACTATTCCTACCACTCAACCAAATTTCTTTGGATCCCATGGGCTCCTACTTTTGCTATCACTCTCCATGCAAGACCTCGTCAACAGTCTTGTTGAACTCCAAGCAGACTACATCAATGCATTGCCCTCAACTACACCCCTGGTCACCTCTAAATTTTTCAAAGAAGTTGGTCAGACATTACTTCCCTTTATCAAAACCATGCTTACTGTTCTTGATTAGTCCTCAACTCTCCAAATGCAAATTAATTCTGTCCCTCAGAATTGCTTCATATACTTCGCCACCACTGAGATCAGACTAACAGTCTGTAGTTCCCTGGGTTTATCCCTTGCTCCCTTCTTGAATAACGGTATAATACTGATGGTATATCCATATTATCCCTCTCATTAGTAAACATTGAGTCAAAGTATTCGTTTAGAACCCTATCTACATCCTCTGGCTCCACTCTCAAATTACTGCCATGGTCCTTAATGGACCCTACTTTTCTACTTGTTATCTTTTTACCCCTAATGTTCCTGTAAAACTACTTAGGAGTTTCCTTTAGTTTACCTGCCATTTATTTTTTTCACATCCCCTTTCAGCTCTCCTAATTTCCTTTAAGTTCCCTCTTCCATGTTCTACAATCTTTTAGGTCTTCTGTTGTGAGCCCTAGCTATCTGCCGTAAGCCTTCTTTTTTCTCTTAATCCAATGGCATGCATGGTCAATATTGAGTGTTGACAGCATCGGATGGTCCCACCCTTTTTTCTTTATTGGAACGTTTTGATCCTATACATTCTGCATTTCCTTCTTGAATGTATCCCACTGCTCTGACAGATTTATCCAAAAGTATCTGCTTCCAGTCTACTCTGGCCAAATTATGTTTGATCTTATTAAAATCTACCTTCCCCCAGTTGAGAAAATTTTGATTTCAGGCCCGTCCTTGTCCTTTTCCATAACAATCTTGAACGTAACACTGCAAAATGCTCCCTTGTGATAATTCAATCACTTGTCCAGTTTCACGTAGGGCCTTCTATGTAGTGGCTTAAAAAGCTGTCCTGGATTTTAAGTATTCTGCTCCCTCTAGAAATTTCACACTGACTACCCCAGTTAACGTTGGGGAAGTTGTACTCCCTATCACTCCTCTAGTACTTGTAGACTTCGTTGAAATTTGCCTACGTATTTGTTCGTCTATTTCTCTTGGATTGTTAAGAGGCCCATAATACACTCCCAGCAATGTGACTGCTCATTTTTGATTTTGAGACGACAACCCTTAAGCAATAAGTTGTTTAAAACTTCCACTTTTAATCTATTAGTTTTGGTATAAAAATATTCTTGAAAGCATTACAAATCATTGAATGGTGAGTAACTGGCCTTCTAAAAGTGTATTAACAAACTGACTGGCCTGGAAAAAAAACAAAACACTTATTTGTAGAATGTTAACCTTCACTACGATAAAAAAACAGGAATTTTTTCAAGTTTCTTTATAAAATAATTTCAATCTTAATTCACTTATATTGCCATCTAGGATTTTAAGTTAGAAGTCAAGAATGAAATATCCTTTGGTATTAATGTGGTTCATTGCTTATTCAGTTTACTAACATAATTGCTGTACAGCTGGCAATCCAATTTACTTGGTGCCACAGTTTTCAACTGCCATTGGGAAGTGAGGATGATTCACAAGAGATCAGTAGACCTTTGAGGGTAGATGTCTTCGAGATCACTGACAAACATTGTTACACAGCTGATAAGCATTAAATCCAGCCCATGATTCTATCAATTCTATACGGACTCTTACAGCACAGGAGGACTCCTATCCAGAGCCACTGCCCTGTTATTTTCCCATTGCTATGTAAATATTTCCTCCAAATATATATCCAAGTTATTTCTGAAAAGTTGAGTAAATCTGTTTCGTTGGCATTTTCATGCATGCATTCTAAATAATAATTCATTGCATTAAAAATTCTCATTTATAACCTGCTTCTTTTGCAAATTATCTTAAGTCTGTTCTCTCTGGCTACCGATTCTCTTGTTAGTGAGAACAATTTCTCCTTTAGTCTCCAAACTCTTAACTTATAACAGAACTGTTCAATCACCCCTTAACATTCACTGCATTAAAAAAAATCTAACTTCTTTCAATTTCTCCATATGATTAAAGTCTCACCTTGATACCATTCTAATTCTCTTCTATGCCCTCTTCAAGACCTTTATATTTTTCATGGGGTACACAACAGTATAAATATTCCTGATGAAGCTGAATTGACTTCACGTAACCTCCATGTTTTTGTACTGTATTTATATATTAATCCAAAGATCCCATTTTTTCTTTCAAAACACCCATATCAGCTTGTTACCTTTAAGATTGTGGGAGAGGGTAAACCCAGCTCTCTTAGCATGGAATCACTGTAAACGGCAAAAGTAGCTCATTATTCTTCAATCAGAAATGCATCACCTCATACTTCTCTGCATTAAGGTTAGGGCAAAGCTTTCAAAGTTTTATGCCAACATTTACTCTTACTTTTATAGGTCAAAACAAAATACATTTTTACACACCATCATTAGGCATAGTAAGGATAGGAATCTGTGTAATGGATCCATTTCTGCCCTCCACACGTCCAGCTCGTTCATAGATAGTAGCCAGATCAGTATACATATAACCAGGGAAACCACGACGACCAGGTACTTCTTCTCGAGCTGCTGAAACCTTAAACGTAACAGGAACATACAATAGCTTATATACTTTAAATGACAAACAAACAGTTTACAGTGAATTACTTAAAGTTAAGTATTTTGAACCTCCTTACAATATAGAATGCAAAAAAGTGTATGAATATGCCTTATAACTATACATGCATTATACGTGCTATTTTATTAGAATGAGCCCTAAATTCCAGGGAAGGGAGTAAGGTTCAACTGAAGCTGGTTGTGTGCGGCAAGAGACAGGAATTTAGCAGTAACAATAAATTTGCCAAATTCCTGCCCCATTAAAATCCAATGACAACATATTTATATGCACAGCAACCTTGTGATGAGTCTGTTTGATTCTGTACAATCCTGTTTCTACCCCACCACAGTACCAAAATGGCTCTGATCAAAGTCACAAATGACATATGTGACAAAGATAAGCTACCTCCCTTCATCATCCTGAACCTTGTGTAATCTTGGACAGTTGGTCACACCATCATCCTATTATGCCTCTCTACTGTCGTCCAGCTAGATGGGACTTGCTTTCACCTGGCTCCATTTTTATCCATCTGATCAAAGCAAGAGAATCAACAGTAACAGCTCTCTTCTCACTCCTGGTACCCTTCTGTCTTCTTGTCTAGATGTTGCCCCTTGGCAAAAGCAATATTTCCAAGTTTGCTGATGACACAAAATTAGGTGGGATTGAGTTGTTAGAAGTTGCAAGGAAGCTTCAGGCTAATTTACGGAAGTTAAGCATGTGGGCCAACACAGTACAGATGCAGTACAACGTGGCTGAATGTGAAGATATACATTTTGTGAAAAAGAAAAAAGCAGTTTTTATTTAAATGGTGATATATTAGGAAACATGAATGTACAAAGAGATCTGTGTGTACTTGTACACAAGTCATTGGAAGTAAATAGGCAGGTGCAGCAAGCAATTTGGAAGGTAAATAGTATGGCATTGCAAGAAGCTTTTAGTTCAGAAGTAGGAATGTCTTACTCCAGTTAAATAGGCACATAGGTGAGACAACACCAAGTACTGAGCACAGTTTTAGTGTCCCTATCCAAGACCAGATATACTTGCTAAAGAGGGAGTGCAGCAGAGATTCACTAGGGTGATGCTGGGAATGATAGGTCTGTGATTATGAAGACAGATGCATCTAACTAGGCATATACTCAAGAGTTTAGAAGAATGATAGGGGACCTGATTGAAACATATGAAATTCTAACAGGACTACACAGATGAAATGCAGGGAAGATTTTTCCCCTGGTTGGGGATTTAGAACTAAGGGTCGCAGTCTCAGGATACAGGAGATGCAATTCAGGACTGAGAATTTTTTTTAAAAACTCAGATGATGGTCAACTTGTGGAACTCGCTGCCAGAGAAGGACGTGAAGGCCAGGTCACAGTATATTCTAGAATGAGATTGATTTTTTTTTTTTTTTTTTAAAAAAGGGTATAAGAGGATACAGAGAGAAAGTGGGAATATGGTGTTGAGACAAAGAATTAGTCTGATCATATCAAATGATCATCAGGTTCTTTTATAACTTTACACAATTAAGTCACAACTTATTGAAGCATCAAGCAGAAGAATAAAATAAAACACATTTAAACATATCAAGTTTATGACAATCTACAAAATACTGATATAATTCACTTATTCTGCAGTTTGTTACTACACCACATCAATATGCAGTGATATTACTCAGTAATTCCAGTGTATGTTATTTTTAAAAATAAAAGATTTTACTGAGCATATCGATGCAGTGACTCAAGCTGCAGAAGGCCAAGTTTAATTAGCTGGAAAACTAGATTTTTTTCTTCAATTAGTATTTTTTAAAATATGGATCATTGCTTCAAAATAATGGTTCAATTATTCAGAGAATGCAAGGGAAAATCTACAGGTTTTACTTACAGAATACAATAAGTTAAATAAAAATGTAAGTAAGAATAAGCTCTGTGTATCAAACAGGTCTACGTTGCAAATAGAGTTTTGAAAATATAATTTTATCATAATAACAAAAAAGTAATTTACCAAAGACTGCAGAAAAGAATGCTTTACATCAAGGTCAATGCTTTTTCAAAGTTTTGCTAGTAATCAATTGCATTTAGTTTAAGCTATGCAGCAATAGATGCGACTTTACCTCCAGACAACAGCAGCACTATTCATGTTATGTCCACAGTCATTAGTAAATAAATGAAAATAGTCTACAGACAACTCCCTTTCTGAACAAAAGATAGATTTTTGCATTACTCTTTTAACCTTGGTAATCCTGTTCCACTGAATTGGTTTCCATACCAAAATTGCTTTCAAGAGCAGCATGGACTTGTTCGACACAAGGCTAAAGAGCAAATACATCTAATATAACACAATAAACTTCATGCAATCTCCATTTAGGTATTACCATTAAATAAGAGCTACATACATGAAGTGAATTCTGTCCATCATTGTGTGGAGCATATGCCATCAAAAAACTATGGAAAGCACTTATGACATTAATGATGGAACAGTCAGATTTTCAAGGACTATGATCTGAACTCAAATTCAAGTTAATAAATACCTATAGAGGGTCCCCTCCCTCCCCAAATCTGAGTGCTCAATATTTGTGCAAAGATTTCTGAATTTGATGACTTACAGGAAACCTCCCAGGGGAGGTGGGGGAAAATGAGGTGGATTTACAAACTGGCAATCCAATCCCAAACTGCCAATTTTTGTTTCAACTGAGGCAGCCAACAAACTAAAATATTTTAAGAAAGCGGTGATATCAATTTTAACCTAATCTTTATTTTCAACACCTGCAGGCTAGGTATCCTGGGTCTCAGGAAACCTGGCAGAAGGGAAGCTTGAGGAGCGATTTAGAATGGGTAAGTTTATAGGGCAGAGAAGCAGAAGTGTTTCTTCCCACTCTCTCCACCCCACCCTGCAACAATCCAGTAAGTAAACCTGCGAAGTGGCCCTTCCAAACTGTCCAACTGCCAACCCTAATGTCTACATGATCGAACCTCAATAATGTGACCAAGTATCTTTCTTAACAAGATGTACGATGGTAATTCTGATTTAACTTGAGGCTACCAGACTCATTTTTAAAAAGTGAGAGCTCAAGAAGAATTAACTGGGTTAAATAATTACAAAGCAGATAAATGCAAGGTCACAGACATTGGACAGGAACCCACATGAACAAATGTGCAAGTATCTATTAATGCAATGGAAATATTCGATGAAAGCAGTCAACATAAAACTATCAAATTCAGTTACAAGATGGCGCATCTTTTTAGGCATATTATGAAATAATTGATTTGTTTCGTACAACTTCAAAATCACATTTTGGATACTATGCATGAGAAGAAATTATTCTTTAAATTATCAATTTTAAAATATCAATTACAAATTCAGTTTAATTACAAACGATAAATATTGCAGATGTAAGTAATTAAATATTTAAAATGGTGTAATGAAATCAGACAGTGTGGACTTCACAGGTGTAATGATGTTCAGGAATTTTGTTTGGTTATCTTTTGGGAATGTAGGTTACTTGAGAAATCTAATGCTTTATCATCTTTGGAGCAGATCATTTGTGGTTGCCATCTCGACTCGAGTTGAGTGCCATGACTGGTTGGTCAATAATGGGAAGAGAGATGCAGTTCCCGGACTGCATAATCTAGATTATATAACTAATTAACAGTCATTTCTCCTCAGTCTATTCCTTATAAAAATGCCGGTTATGAGAGAAGAAGAAATAACCAGGAAATAACTGAACCTTAGATTAAACTTCTACGATAATTAATATTCTCTCTACCAATAAGCATTTTACGTTTGATGTTGTCTGTGTATAAAAATGAACATTTGAAGGGAAATGCACATACCTCTCTCAAAGCTTCAGCATAAGAACTCATATCTGTTAAAATAACCAACACATGTTTTTCACATTGGTAGGCCAGGTATTCTGCAGTAGTCAGTGCAAGACGAGGTGTAATAATGCGTTCAATGCTGTTTAAGAGATAGCCATCCATCAGTATTTACGTCAGTACGACTCTTGAAATATAGACATTTCAGCATTAGCTTTATCTATGCATACTAGTTCTGCTGTGAACCGAGAGAACAGGAGGTGGTCATTCAGCCCATTGAGTGCTGGCCACATTTCTCTGTTAGAAAACTGATGTGACATTGCTCCATATGCCTCAATATTTTTGATCAATTAAAAACGATTGATTTAAAATTAAATATCTACTGTCAATTGCAGAAAAGAGTTCTTTCCTAATCACACTCAAAGTTGTTTTTGATAGTTAAGAACACAGTTGCATTTTCATTGCAAACCTATCTGTAAGTCTGTTCACTTCAATCACAATTTAAATAGTTCAACAGCTTGATCATCAGCTGTCAGATTTCAAAATCAATATCAACCCATCATTAGGTCTGTGGTAGACCCTTGGTGAGGGATCATTGTTCAAATATCAAACAGGTGGAGGATGGTGAAATTCTGTAGGCAGCTAAATTTGAGGCTGGTGCTATTTCTGTACTTTTGAGACCTGAATGTCATCACGGTGCATTCCGCCACTCAATGAATGTCATTTACATTATGATTCTGGAGCTCTTCAACCATTGAGAGCAGATGCCTGAGGATTCTTACAATGACCTTTCCTGTGAAGGACAGCACGGAAACAGGTCTGTCGTTATTGAAAATCACTCTAATCTTTCTTGAATGTGGTCACAATTACGGCATGGCCTCCTCGTTCTAGATGAAGAAGATGAGGAAGAGTACCTGCAAGGAGACTCTCGGTTTCCCTACTGGGAAACATCAAAGACTGGTTTGACAAATACTGCCAGGATATCCAGGACCTGCTAATCATTAGCACTAAGCACTCCTAAACTGCAAATACCAAAGCTTAGGAGGGGAAAAAAACAAACACAGGTCAAAACTGAACTCTAGAGGTCCAATAATAGGTCAGGTCTGTGACCTAAAAAAACAGGTGTGGAAAGAGCGTAGGAAATACAGCTCACCATGATCTGCATCGATTCTTCAGCACAGTCAAGGTCATTTGTGGTTTGAGCACCTCAAGACTTACCCCACTTAGAGCTAAGAATGAAGTGGTACTGATCATGGACACAGAGGCAGTAAATGCTCTTGTGAAATAGCACTTCAAGAATCACAACAAGAAAGTACTCACATTGAGTCCATCAACTACATCCTACAGCATAATACCTGCCACTCTGTTCACCCTAGCCCAAAACGTTTAAAAAGGCCTTCCAACAGTTGAGAACCAAAGAGGCCACTGGTACACATGGAATTCCGACCAAAATACTAAAGTACAGCAGAGAAGCACTCTCGGGTGTACCTACACTACAAGACTGCAGAAGCAAAAGCAGCAAATGTCCTGTCAATAAGGGCAATTAAGGGTGTACAACAAATGTTGGTCTAGCCAGTGACACCCACATCTTGAGAACAAATAAATTGAGAAGTCACTAGAGTAAGCTTTGAAACCACAATCTTCCAACTCAGATGTGAGTGCTGCCATTGACATCTAAATAACAAATAAGGATAATAATTGCTCCCTGAGTATGTACTTGTGTATGGGCAGAAAAAACTCCAGATCGTGATGACAAGACATAATTACTTGAAATACTGGCAGAACAGTTGAGCCAATATGATTTGACATGACGTAATGCTGGCAATAGTATCTTATACCAATTGTGTAAAATTATTACAAACACAAATGGACAAACCAAACAAACATTCATTTCATGCACATACACAAATCACTTCTTCAGGCAAACAACTTTGATCAGAATGTTACTTGACATTCTATGAATGTCATTTTTCACAAAATTTAGTGTTTATTTTAAGCAACCTGTTCAAACATGTTTTGACACCTTCGAAGCAGGTGGGACTTGAAAATAGATCTTCCAGCATGGAGTAGCTACATTACAATTGCACCACAACATTCTTGGAAGAACCTAGCATTTAACATTTTCAAAATCAACCACACCAGTGCATAATGGGAAAAGACATATTTGTAAGCTATATTCAGCAATTACTATAATAATTGAATTTTCCAAAAAATAAAGTGCGCAGGAAAATGATTCTCATTTGTAAAATAATAGTTTATTGCAAGTTAAGTTTTTGATGCATGACATCTATTTTCCTTGAAAGCATGTTTACTTACTGGCTATTGCAATGCAATATTCTCAAGCTGTCAAAGCCCGTTTAATTACATACACTGTTTTGGTTTAATTCCTACGACAGGCAAAATCCGATGTCTTTATGAAGTACTTACGTTGGGTCATTTGCAAGATTCAAAAAGAGACAGACATTGTCCATTGATCCATTTTCTTCAAAGTCAGACTTGAAGAATCTTGCAGTTTCCATATTAACCTGTTATACAGAAAGTGATCAAGATAATCAACCCAATTTGGTTATCCTTAGATAAAGCATAAATATCTCAAATATATAGATCAAAACAGCAAGTAAAACATGTAGCTACTATTAAGAACAGGGAATTGAATATTCACTGCATAGCCGACAGCAAAGTAATTTTTTTTAGGGCTCCTCTCTGGTTTTTAGAAGCTATTTTTCCATTCACGCTAACACATGATGTAATACCATCTCTACTTGGTGTTGACATAGGAGATACGTAGACTCTCAGAAGCAGAACTAGTATATTATTCTCAACTATCAATTCTCCATTAAACTTAAAACCATGAAATGCAAGGAAAGCATTAATTTCCTAGACATCTCAGTAAGCTTTGGATGTAATCTCTCCTTTCTGACCGTGCAGAGTGAGATACAGTCCAATTGAGTATATAGTTAGAGGACTTTGGAGGCAGCTTGGGAATTCGCTACAGGGCAAAAGAAGTGCTTTTAGCTTGATTTTTTGACTCAATTCAAAAAGGTCAATTTATCAGGAAAAAATGAATCTCAGGACCAAGGGCCCAGCACTAAAGGAAGTGACATCATAGGAAAACCATTAGATCACTGGTTGGTAATAGCTGCTAATTTGACCATAAGGTACTTTCAGATTGAAGGTAAATAGAAGAAATATTTACAGATTGCAAACTAAGACAAAAAAACCTAAGCAAATCAAATAGGAGATGCATACCCAATGTGTTGTACCTGCAAAATGTTGGGAGCTGGTGGACCACATTATGTTTCATAGTGGTCACATCTGTAGCAAGTGTTGATTGCTTGAGGAATTTCAGCTCAGAGTTAATAAACTGAAATCTGAGCTTCAAACACTACAACACATCAGCGAGGCAGGGAGGGAGGAGTTATCTGGACACTATTTCAGAAGGCAGTCACACCCCTTAGATTAACCAGCTCAAATTCTAATCAGCAGTCGTGGACAGGAAGGTTTGATTACGAAAGACAGGTAGAGGGATCCAGCAGATAGTGCTGAAAGAGCCTCAGCCCTTGAACTTGTCTAACACATTTCAGATTCTTGCTCCGTGTGGAAGAGAAAAGGGGCAGTAGGGAGGATGAGCAAACTGACCAGAGCACCATGGTACAGGGAGCCATTCGGAGGAGGGGTGGGTGGTGGTAGAACAAAGATGCAGTTGGAATTAGGGACAGTATAGTCAGCGTAATAAACACTGTTCCTTAAGGTGTCACTTGCATGGAGGCTTATGGAAGAGAGGTTATTCACGTTTCTACAAAGACAAACAGGACAGGGAGTATGGAAAAGGTCAGGAATCTAACTTCAGGCAGAGCAGGTAAGGCAACAATTATGAGAAGGGAGTGGTCAGTGCAGGACTGCGGGTGCTGTACACAAATACATGCAGTATACGAAACAAGGTAAATGATCTTGTAGCATTGATTAAAAACTGGCAGGTACAACGTTGTGGGCATCACAGAGATGTAGCTGCAAGGGATAGGGACTGGGAATGAAATGTTCAATGATATGCATCCTGTCAAAAGCACAAGCTGATGGGCAGTGGCAGCAGGATTGCGTTGTTAATAAGAAATTGAATCAAATAGATAGCAAGAAGCAATATGGAGTCAGGAGGCAAAGAATCTGAGCGGGTACAGTTGGAGGAACCACAAAGGAAGAAAGACCCTGATGAAATAGGGAGACCTATCAGTGAAGCACATGGCCTCCTAGCATTAGTCAGGAGGTCGGTCAGAAAATCATTCAGGAGACAGAAAAGGCATGCAAGAAACACATTATTACAATAATCATCAGGGATTTCAATATGCAGGTGGGCTGGGAAAGAAAGGTTGGTAGCAGATCCCAAGAAAAAAATTCATGGAATATCTACGAGATGGTGTTTTGAAGCAGCTTGTGATAGAGCTCAAAGGAACAGGCAGTTCTGGATTTGCTGATGTGGAATGAGGCAGACTTGATTAGGGAGCTTAATATGAAGGAACCCCTAGGCAGCAGTGACCATAATGTGATAGAATTAATACTGCAGTTTGACAGAAAGAAGATTGAATCAGATCTAACGGTATTACAATTGAAGTAAAAGGTAATCACAAAACATACGAGGGAGTAGCTGGCCAGAGTTGACTGGAAGGGGAGACGAGCAAGGAAGACAGTGGAGCAGCAATTGCAGGAGTTTCTGGGGGCAATTCAGAAGGGCCAGCAGAAATTCATCCAAGGAAGAAGAAACATACTAAGGGGAGGACAAGGCAACCATGACTGAATGTAGGTCAGGGACAGCATAAAACCAAAAGCATACAATGCGGTGAAGATTAGTGGGAAGCCAGAGAATTGGGAAGCTTTTAAAAGCTAGAGGGCAGTTTAAAAAGGAATAAGAGGGAAGACTGTGAAATAGAGGGTAAGCTAGCTAGTAAATTTAAAGAAGACTACAAGAAATTATTCTAAAAGGATTTATACAAGGTAAAAAGAGACACAAGAGTACACGGTGGACTATTGGAAAATGAAGCTGGAAAAGCAATAAATGGGGAACAAAGAAATGGTGGAGCAACTGAATAGGCTGTTTGCATTAGTCATCACAGTGGCAGATACAAGTAGCATAATAGAACTTCAAGGGAGTCAGGGGCAGAGGTGACTATCGCGGCCATCACTAAGGAGGTGGTGCTGGGAAAGCTGAAAGGTCCAAAGGTGAACAAAATTGGGTCGAATGGACTACATCTGGGTTCTGAAGGACATAGCTGAGATGGTGAAGGCATTGGTGTTGATCTTTCATGGATCACTGGTATCAGAGAGGGTCCCTGAGGGCTGGAAAATGGCAAGTGTAATAGCATGTTACACTTTAAGGAAGGCATAAAATGGGAAATTATAGGCTGGTTAACCTACCTTGGTCATTGGTAAGATTTTAAGAGTCCATTATTAAAATTGGTATTGTAGAGTACTTAGAAGTGCATAGTAAAATAGGCGGAGCCTGGCAGCTTCAAGGGGAGGTCATGCCTGATAAATCTGTTGAAATTCTTTGAGGACATAATGAGCAAGTTAGACAAAGTAGAGCCAGTGGCGTGATCTATTCGGATTTTCAGAAGGCCTGCGAAAAGGTGCCACATAGGAGGCTGCTAAATAAGATAAGAGCCAATGGCATAGGGGCAAGGTACTAGCATGGATAGAGGACTGGCTGACTGGCAGAAGGCAGACAGTCTTTTTAAGGATGGGAGCCAGTGACTAGTGGAGTTCCGCTTAGTTGGGACCACAACTATTCACATTATACGTTAACAATCTGGACGAAGGAACGGAGGGCATTGCTGCTAAATTTTGCAGATGACACAAAGATAGTTGGAGTGGCAAGTAGTGTTGAAGAGGCAGGGAGGTTAGAAAAAGGACTTAGGCTAGGTGGGTAGGCAAAGAAGATGAAATACAAATGAGGTAAAGTGTGAGGTTTTACACTTAGGTAGGAAGAAGCAGCATAGGTTATTTTCTAAACAGGGAAGGGTTTCAGAAATCTGAAGCACAAAAGGGACTTGGAAGGATTCTCCGAAGATAAACATGTTCAGTTGGCAGTTAGGAAGGCAATTGCAATTGTAGCGTTCGTTTTTAAAGGACTAGTATACAAGACAAGAGATGTAGTGCTGAGGCAGTATAAAGGCACTAGTCAGACAGCATTTGGAATAGTGAGCAGTTTTGAGGCCTCTATCTAAGGAAGGATATACTGGCCTTGGAGGGGGTCTTGAGGAGGTTCCAGAGAATGATTCCAGAGATGAAGGGCCGGTTGAGGATTCTGGGTTTAGGAGGATGAGGGGTGACCCAGTAGAAACTTGCAGCATACTGAGGGGCCTGGAGAGTGTGGACGTGGAGAAGAAGGTATTTCCGCTAGTAGGAGAGACTAGCGCCAAAGGGCACAACCTCAGTGTGAAGGAACTATCTTTAAAACGGAAATGAGGAGGAATTTCCTCAACCAGGGGGTGGTGAACGTGTGGAACTCATTGCTGCAGAGGACTGTGGAGGCCAAGTGATTGAGTATATTTAAGACAGATTGATTAGTAAGGGGATCAAGGGTTACAGGAGAATGGGATTGAGAAACAGATGATCAAATGGCTAAACAGGCTTGATTAACGGAATGGCCTAATTCTGCTCGTATAACTTATGGTCTTATTTAAATTGGCGTAAGACAACAGGCCATAGATCAAGAGATAGTAAGAACCGCCAATGCTGGAGTCATATAGATTAATATAGTCATAGTTATTTTGGAAAACAAATGTTAATCTAACTTCTACACACAAAAAGCCATCACCCTAAACACATCTCCCAAAAGTCACAGCCAGTTAGTTTCCATTGCACACACAGAAAACCTGAACATTTTAACCAGTCACAACCCCATTTACAGCATCTTAGAGCTGAACCTCAGACTTTAATAAAATTTGTCAGTTTTTAACTTGAGATTTTCCCTCCAAGTATCACAGTTTCAAAACCTACAATTTTAAACTAAGAGATTCCCATATTCATTTCTAAGGAATTCATTACCTCAATGATGTGAATTTATCTCAGAACTCAGTTAACTAAATGATCCTTTGATCTCAGGTTTAAAACTGTTCTTCCACCTTCAAAACCACCCTTAGCCCCTTGCCTCCCTGGCTGCCTCCTTCTCCAACCGGCCTCACCGCTACTTACAAACTTTGCAGGCCTCTCCACCTCCCATAACTCCTCCTGTATACCTTTCTTCTACACTATTCAGACAGCATCCTTCTCCCAACCCTCCTAGCAACCACTTCTCAGTAGTAACCCATTTCACTATACTTGCAGCCTCTTTTAGCACCCCATTTTCCTTTTGTAAAGTCCTTATTCCCTTCCAACGTTGCAGCCAGCTCCTCTCCCAAACTTGCCCTGGCTGATGCCCTCACCTTGGATCCAATGGATAGAACTCCCAGATCCGGCAATGGGCTGCCCCAGCACTCCAATAACCAGCAGCTCATCATTGCTTTCCATTCTCTGTGGGAGGGATTTCCCCCTGACTGGTCACACATGCGAATTTTCATTGGCCATTTGTGGACTTATTCAGGTAAAGGCACTGCCAACGTTGGTACTAAATCTCAGACAGTAACTCCATAGAATAGAATCCACAGAATCCCTCCACAGTGTGGAAACAGGCCCTTCGGTCCAACAAGTCCACACCGACACTCAGAGTATCCCAGCCAGACCCATCCCCCTGTAACCCACCTAATCTACACATCCCTGAACACTACAGGCAGTTTAGCATGGCCAATCCACCTAGCTTGCACATCTTTGGACTGTGGGAGGAAACTGGAGCACCCGGAGGAAACCCACGCAGACACAGGGAGAATGTGCAAACTCCACACAGACAGTTGCCAGAGACTGGGATCGAACCCAGGGCCCTGGTGCTGTGAGGGAGCAGTGCTAACCACTGTGCCACCATGCCACCCCCAACTTATGAATGCATGGAACTCATTGCCGCAGAGGGCTGGGGAGGCCAAATCATTGAGTTCATTTAAGACAAATGGATAAACTCTTGATTATCAAGAATCAAGAGTTATAGACAGAAGGCAGCAGAATGGTTTGAGAAACATATCAGCCATGATCTAATGGTGCAGCAGAGTCAATAGGCCAAATGGTCTAATTCTGCTCCCATATCTTATGGGCTAATTTAATTGGTACAAGACAACAGGCCATAGATTAAAATGCTAATTCAAGGTTAATCTGATGATGATGGGTTGAGAATGCAATGTTAACCAAGAGGGCTACCTGCACTCTGAATAGCACCATTAGATCCTTAATGGTGCTATGAATGATTTAGAGGAGCAGGGCTTAGTATACCAATACATCTAAAGGACTACACTTCTGAGAATGCATTATTTCTCAGTGTGTAATCTTACATTACAATCAAACTGCACTTTGAATCCATAGTTTCAGGTGGTGAAAATATTAAAAGAGACCTGAACTGATTAATGGCATCTCTATGCATAATGCTCATATGGAATTTAGCAAGGCTTTTGACAGTGGCAAACAGAAGGTTAATCCAGAATGGTGAAAGCAACATCCTGGTATTCTTTCTCTGCACCCTCTCGAAAGCATCCACATCCTTCTGGTACTGTGGCGACTAGAACTGCGCGCAATATTCCAAATGTGGCCTCACTAAAAGTTTTGATGCCCCAACTGAAGAAGGCAAGCGTGCTGTAATATGTTTTCTTGACCACCTTATTGAATTGTGTTGCCACTTCCAAGGATCTGTGGACCTGCAAGCCTAAATCCCTCTACGTCATTGCTCCTAAGGGTTCTGCCATTTATTGTATAATTCACACTGGAATGTCATCTTACAAAATGCATTACCTCATTTGACCAGATTAAACTCCATCAGCCATTTCTCTGCTCAAATCTGCAATCTATATCCTGTTGTATCCTTTTACAATCCTCAATATATTGTATCATATGAATACTATTGTTAGAGAGTTGCAGGACTGTCTTAGTTGCTTTCTCAACCAACATCATCGATCTATCATGCTGCTTGCTATTAAAATACTGCTCTAATAAGCAATACAGAATTTAATGAATCTCTTTCAGATATGTACCCTAATCACAAAAGCAGTTTTTTTATTGCAGTTTTAAGCTGTACAGTATCTCTCTCAAACGCAAAATTTTGTTCTTTAATCCAGAGAGAGATAATGCAATATTTCATACTTCAGAACATTCCCCCTCAAAATATGTAATTTCCTTCATGCAAAATGGTGATTTTAAAGTATCTGTCAGTTTAAGCAGGAATTTTGGGTGTGGAAACAGGATCACATATTTCTAATGGCATAACAGCCAAGTCCATTCCAAAGTCCAAAAGCAGGAAGCAAGGCATCAATAATTTGGTATCATTATTTGAAATTAGTACAAAAGAATAAGTCAGACAATCCGGTTTCCAGGCAAGTGTTCAAGAACTCCCATTAAATATCAAGAAAGATCTTTTGAAGAACTTTCCCTTCCAGACTGATAGATAACGCATTTGTTACTTATTCACACAAGCTAGGATCATTGTCCTTCTTTACCAAATATAAAGTTTATTTTTCTGAAATATGGGCATAACCTTGGAATAAAGGTTTTATAAATATTTCCCCATTAGTCAGCTACAACAAAGAAAAATCCATACAAAAAATTTATGACCTGACCCATAAGTTTACAAAGTAACAATGGAGCCAAATTATTTTCAAGAATGTGCCCAATTCAGCAATGAAAAAAGGAACTGTAGCTATGTTTCAAATTGGGTGCAAAAACAAAAAAATAAATTAGAACTCTCAAAGTCAGTGCACATCATATTCACCAAGGATCTGCTGCTTACATTGATTTCAACCACCAAAACAAACAGCAAATTCAGCTTGAGATAAAGTCTAAGGAGAATCAACTCCACCGGGTTTACAGCAACAATCACATGTCGAAGCAAGTTATTAACAAGTGAAGTTCATTTTTCTGATCATAATTATTGAATGCTTGAAACATAACTTCTTTATTCAGAGTGTTACTCCAAAACAATGTTTTAAATTCTCATGGTGAAATCTTTGCACTTTTGAATACAGGTCTGTATGAACTTATTCAGCGCTATAATGTCTTAACATTGGATATAGAATGAACACTTAACTGAGCCATTTCTAGTACAGTAAATTTATTATGCTAAATGGGTTACACTCATCTACCAACCATTGTGAACATACTACACAATTAGGCATATACCATCAGTACTAACACATTGGCCATGGCCCTGGTCCTGGTCCAAAAACATGGCAGTCAATCCAAATAGTGCAATGGCCAATTACTGGAGCAGCTTGGATTGGAGTTGCATATTGGTACCACCTGGAATTCCTGACACAGCTAAGGGAATCACCTGTCAAATCTTTTAGTGAATTTTCCTTGATCTACTATATCAAGTTACCCCCCCTCATCCTTTCATGGTTTCTTTGGTTCAGATTTAAAACCTTGTTTTAGAATCAACTATCACATCAAACTTAACAAAATTATATGATCATTACAAGTATTTTCCAAAGGCTCCTTTCAAGCAAGATTATTAATTAGCCTTTTCTCACTATAATACTGAATCTGAAATAGCGTGATCTCTAGTTCGTTATTCAATATACTACTCCAGAAAGCCATCTTGTACACACTCCAGGAATGCATCCCCCACAGTGTTAGTGCAAATTAATTCAACTAATCTATGCAAATTTAAGTTCACCCATATTGTTGTATTATCCAGATTACACGCAATTCTAATTTCCTGATTTATGCTATGCCCAAATTTACCACTTACTAGTCGATGACTTATTAAAGAAAGTCAATGTTTACTACCCCTTACTGTACCTCACCTCCATCCAGATTAATTCTACATCTTAATCTTTTGATCAAAGATCCTATCACTAACCTTCTTGCTGTCTTGTCTCCCAAGAGGTACCCCATCTACTTTTCCTTTTTACCCATCCTTCCTAAATGTTAAATACCCTTGGATATCCCAATCTTGGTTATCCTTTAGGCTCAGGCCTAATGGCAGTTAATACAAACTTATTTTCCTCAGTTTGTGACATCAAACATCAAAAGGTGTACAAAATTATGAGGGGCATAGACAGGATATGTGAGAAGAAACATTCCCCTTAATAATGAGGTCATTAACCAGGGGCTATAACATTAAGGTGGTTTAGAGTGGATGAAAAGATTCTTCCTTAAATCCCAAGGGTGGTGGGTATCTGGTACTCATTGCTTCAAAGGGTCATAGCAAATGCAACCATTATAACATTTGAGTACTTAGATGAACACTTGAAATGCTCAAGATTACAAGATTACAGGCCAAATGCTGGACAATGGGATTAAAGTAGATTGGCGCTTGATGATCAGCATGGACATAATGGACTGAAGGCCTGTTCTCATTATGTAAAATGCAGTGGTTCTCACCTTGCTGCAAATATTGCATACGGTGCTTTCATGTTATTTTGCATTTGATGCTCGGCTTAGCTTTGCCTGCCTTCCAATTCCACATACAACCTACTTCCTGTTACCAGCTTTGCTCACCTTCAATCTAAGTTTTTTCTCAAGACTTCCAATGACTTCTAGTTTAAAACCTTCAGACAGCAATTGCAAATCTCCAAATGCAGATATTGGTCCCAGTTGTTAATGTAATTTGCCGTTCAATGTCATTTCATAAATTTATAGTGCACCCATATACCAGATCGCAAGAGTAACACAGTAACACACACAAGTAATAAGACTGACAACATTTTTACCATCAGATCCATAGAGTTCCCTTCAGTCATGGCATTGCATATTAATTACTGCTCTTTGTCTGTTTTGATTGTTTGACACGGTTCAAGAAAATGTAAACCAAATCCTGTCCTAGATAATTTACTGATCTTTAGCGCACTGGCAATTATGGACCTCCAACTGCAGCCTGTATCTGCCACTCATCATTAATTGCAATAGTTAACAAAGTTGACTAATAAGATTTACACAGCTATTGTCGTGCTTCTACTTCACTTACACCCATAGCCGCAAATACAATAGCAAAATTCTCTGTACTGTAGTCCATGACGTCTTTGGATTTTTGAACCAGTCCAGCTTGACGGCAGATCTGGGCAGCAATCTAGAAAACATTTCACATGTGTCAGGAACTTTATGTTAAAGAGGCAACAACATCCATGCATCCAGAACCCTAACACCACTCTTTGACTTTTAGTACATGTGAAATTTACAGCTGTTTCCATCCTTCAATTTTTGTTCTTCAAATCAAGTGAAAAAATTTTGTGAAGCCTTTTCTGACAATCAAAACAAAAAGCACATGCATCAGAATTAACAGAAGTTTTTATATTTCAGAATTTGCTAATAATTTTTAGATGTAATCAAATCCAGCACAAAAAGATGCAAATACATGAAACAACAAAAACAATAGCCTTTTCTACCTTACCTGAGCAGTATGTGCTTTGTTTACTAGAGGTCAGAAAGAATAATTTGCCAACAGTTGATGTTCTGCATGAGAGGGCATTAGAAGTTTTTATTTATCAAAACCTTCTATTATTAGAGCAGGACATCATTCAAAAAAGAACACAAACTTGAGTTTATTCTCTTGTGCTGGGAACCTTCCAAAACATGCTTAGAGTAGGTCCATTAGCTATAACTATTATTAAAAAATAATTTAGTGAGATTAAGACAAATCAGACTCAAACGAAATCTGTTAAGATTTCATACTGGAAATCTTGTTAAATTCTCTTTGGTTGTGATGCATCGATTATCCCCATCCCATGTGATCATAGCATCCTCAGCCAATGCCCACATTTCCATTTTCCAGAGCAGTGGGTTTGTCCTTGCTTAATGTCTATTACCCAACTGATTTACACTAAAGTACATCCATAAAGGTTTCTCTTCCTTCCCCTTACCTTGGAGGAAACTCCTCTACCCCTAATACCAGAGATCCATCATTGCTCCCCTCCTCTGACATGGATGTCAACTTCTTCTATGCTGTCTACACCCAACTCATAACTCACTGCAATTTTCAACTGCTCAGTGCTGTTAAATCACATTCCTAACATCTAGTCTTCATCGTCATTACACTTTACTGGCAAATGACGCTTTCAGACAAGTGTTGACTAAAGAATTTAGTACTTTTTTTCCTACAGTTATTAATCCTCACACTGTATACTCCATAGTCACATACCTGAGGGCAGGTTGTACTTCACGTAACTACTCAGCCTAGGAGATGATCAGCAGGATTCAACCATGGGAACGAAGGAGGGATATTACAAATTAGCCTCCAGATTTCTATATCTCCAATGAGTCCATGGGAACCTTAGCTGAACTTTTAGTCCTCTATAATCCAAACCAGAGGCTAACTAGAACATCACAACAGCTACTGCCACAGACAGAAACTTAGTTTCATTATAGGGCAAACTTGTCAACTATTGAAAATTTATGGATTTTGTACCAGCATTATTAGCATTCAAAATCAGAAATAATGAAGAAAAGGTTGAACAGCAGTTAAACAGTGAGCAACCACATTTCAATAAAATATTTAGTGTTAACCAAAAACTAACTATAAAATAGCAGTGGCCCACTTAACATGTTTACAAACCTCATTATGGGGCAAGCCTGCTGCTGAAAATATGGGAATCTTCTGTCCTCTAGCAATACTGTTCATACCATCTATTGCCGAGATTCCAGTTTGGATCATTTCTTCTGGGTATATACGACACTGTGGATTTATAGGTTGACCTAAAATTCAAGCATAGATTCTTATGAAGCATATCAAAAGTAACATTATTTCACTATGAAACAGCTTGCATTAAATGGCACTTTTAATATACTAAACCATCACAACGAGTTTCACAAGAATGTCAAACATAATTTGAAAGCCAGTTACATAAGGAAGCAACAGGGTAAATGACCAAAAGCTTGAACAAAGACACAGGCTTTAAGATGGTTTTCCAGGAAGAGAGAGAGGAACTGGAAAGTTTAGAGAAGGGATTAACATCCACCAATGGTGAAGTGAAGTATTTTACATGCAAGAGGCCAGAATTGGAAGTGAGCCAGCATCTTCAAGTCTAAAAGAAGTTAGAGAGAGAGGCGGGGGTGAAGGCATTGTCGAGGGTATTTTTTAAATTGAGAATTTTAAAGCTGCAATTACACACTAGAAAATAGCACACGCAGCAGATTTTTTGCCAATCTATCCATGCCAATGTGTTATCCTCTATTCCACAAGCTTTTATTTTCTGCAATAACCCTTAATACGGCTCCTCGTTGACTGCCTTCTGGAAATCTAAGTACAATCTATTCAATGGTTTCTTTAGCATTAAATTAAGCACATTAAATATCCTATCCTTTTCATAAAGCCACATTGCCTCTGCCTGATGTGTTTGAATTTAAGTTCATAGAATCCTTACAGTGTGGAAACAGGCCATTCAGCCCAACAAGTCCACACCGGCCTTCCGAAGAGCAACCCACCCAGATCCAACCCCATCCCCATACCCTTTCCCTGTAACCCTGCATTTCCCATGTCTAATCTACTTAACTGACATACCCCTGGACACTACAGGCAATTTAGCATGGCCAATCCTAACCTACACATCTTTGAACTGTGGGAGGAAACCCACGCAGACACGGGGAGAATGTGCAAACAGCCAATCGCCCAAGGGTGGAATCGAACGCGGTCCGTGGCGCTGTAAGGCAGCAGTGCTAACCACTAAGCCAACGCGCCGCCCATACGGTTACATTATCTTAATAAATAGCCTCTTAATAGTCTAGGTGTAGAGCTGGATGAACACAGCAGGCCAAGCAGCAGAGGAGCAGGAAAGCTGACGTTTTGGGTCTGGACCCTTCTTCAGAAATTTCTGAAGAGGGGTTCAGACCCGAAACGTCAGCTTTCCTGCACCTCTGATGCTGCTTGGCCTGCTGCGTTCATCCATCTCTACACCTTGTTATCTCAGATTCTCCAGCATCGGCAGTTCCTACTATCTCTTAATAGGCTAATCCTTTGACAGATATTAAGCTAATTGGCTCGTAGTTTCCTGCTTTGTCTTCCACCCTTTTTTTAAATAAAGGAATTTCATACATTTTTTCTAATTTACTGGAACCTTCCCCAAATTTGAGAACGTTCAAAAAATTCAGCCAACACATCAACTCTCTCATGTGACACTTCTTTTGAGACACTAGGATGAGGCCAATTACGACCCAGATACTTGTCAGCCTGCAGTTCCAACGATATGTTCAGTATCACTTCCCGAACGATTGTAAACTTCGAGCTCGGGCAACACGGTAGCTCAGTGGTTAGAACTGCTGCTTCACTGCACCATGGACCCCAGGTTTGATTCCACCCACAGGCAACTGTGTGGAGTTTGCACATTCTCCCTGTGTCTGCGTGGGTCCCCCGCATGCTCCAATTTCCTCCCACAGTCCAAAGCTGTACAGGTTAGGTGGCTTGCCCATGCTAAATTGTCCAGAGTGTCCAGGCTAGATGGATTAGCCATGAGAAGTGCAGGGTGACAGGGATGGAGTGGCACTGGATGAGATGCTCTTCGCAGTGTCAGTGTGGCCTGCTTCCACACTGTGGGGATTCTATGATTCCTCCCTGGCATTTCCTGATTTCTGGGACATTACTTGTATCCTTCGTAGCGAAGTCAAATGCAAGATACCTGTTCAGTTTATTTTCCATCTCCTTATTTAGCATTAATTTCCCAAATTCACTTTCAATAGGACCAACACTCAATTTGTCAATTTTTTTAAAAGCTTCTGTCAATAGAACTTTTAATATTTTATTACTTTCTCTTTCCCTCAAATTTTCTCTCAAAAATATTTTTAAGACTGTCAAAAAAATTAACTTCTGACCTGCCACCATAACAACGTACCTACTCTGTACAGTTTGAAATATCCCCATACATGTTTGCCACACATCACTTATTTACTGATCACAAAACAATTTGCCAGTTCATGCTACTGAGCCATAGTTTCATACCCTCAATTGCCCTTATTGAAATTTAAAATACCAGTCTTGGACTTACTCCTCTCTCCATTAAACAATGTGCAACTGAATCATTATTGCACTACCACCACCTAGGGGTGCCTTCATTAAAACGGTCGTAAATTAATCCAATCTCATTCCCATCTCAGGTTTGGTGTAATCTTGGAGTAACATGTCCTAAGAAACAACCCCAAAAGCATTCTATGAACTCATTTAGGCTACCTTTGCCTATTTGATTTTTCCAGTTCACATGTGGATTAAAATCCCCATGATGATCACCAAAGCCTTCGAACAAGCTATAATTCTTTTCCTTTATGCTCCATTCATCATGTAATTATGGTAGGAGGGCCTGTGCAACACTTCTACAAAACACTTCCATATTTTGGCTGGGTCATTCTTCTCTATTATGCTAATATCACCAATTAACAGATCACTATCCCACTTTCTAGCCTTGCCGAATGTCCTGTACCCTTCAATATTCAGCAAGAACAATAAGGGGTGGGGAAAGGGGTCGCAGGGGAGATCAAAGAGAGAAAAGTGGAGACGAGGTCCTATAAGTTGTTTTTGGAGTGGGGAGGGGAGAAAAGGCAACTTAATTATCTTTTAAGCACATGTAAAGAACACTGTCTTTATTGCTGCAGGGCCCAAGTCTCAAGCTGAATCATGCAGGCCATGCATACTGAAAAAAATTGCAGTGTTTCTCAGCTGTTCACTAAGTCAAGAACATTATGCCAACCAGTACTGCCTTGAACCTCATGGCCCCAAAGTTTTGGCTCACCACCCAGCCCCACTTAGGCAGGTCATGCCTTAATGGAAAAATTAACAACATATTCTATGAACAGTACTGAATTAGCCAAGTACGAAGTTCAATTAAACAGACTGAAAGCTATTATACTGTCAGTACTCCCAAGTGTTCAGTTACTGAAGCATAGAATGCCGAACTATAGAATAAGTACAGTACAAGTTAAGGGATTTTAAACACAACATGGTTCTCTGGTCACTGCATCTTAACAAACCATGACCAGTTGAAGTTACAAACATTGCAGGAGACATTTAGCCCACAAGCAATCCAAAACAACACTAGTTCGAGAAGAATTCAGAATAGATAGACAAGCTCATCTTATCCCCAATCTTCTAGACAAGATGAACAATTCATTCAAATCAATCAGAACTAAAATAGGAAACCAGGCAATGATTCTTAGTCACTACCAGCATGTTATTCACCCTAGAAAACACATTACTTCCAGAGATTCGTACACAAATGCTATTTGCTATTTTGCATGTAGAATGCAAAGCTGTAGAATGACAAATTGACTTTCATAATAAAGATTGCACACTAATGCACCACATCAAGCCAGGCCCTATTTCTTCCATAAAGATGAGAACGTTAAACAGGTGAATTTTCAGTCGTGTGATTAGCTTAATTTTTGTGACCATCAGCTTACCCATAATATCTAGAAAATCTTCAGCCAATACAGTTGGCCCTCTGTCAATGGGTTTCCCTGATCCATTGAACACTCTACCTGTAAGTCAACAGTATTGCTATTACTCAATAGCAAAATTAAAATTATTCACAATATTAAAATCATTCACAAGATGTATTGAGTAATTAGGTACTTCAAATTATAATTTCATGAAGTGCAAAATTCAACACCAATATGTTCAATTCAGCAAGTCCCTGGTGTCATTTAATTGCACCTGAAATTGGGGCCCCCTGTTCAAATGCAGTACTGGCGGAAAGCAAATGCCTTCACATTAATACTGCAGTTAATATAAATTCACTCAACATCGTTGGATTCAGTTTAAGGTACTGTTAATCATTAAAATATATAAGACTTCAAGCATTGTTGCGTTTAAGGCTCCTTTTTGAAAGAATTGGAACAACCTTAACTCCAACAACTTTGGAGTTTTCTGACATATGCGCTAACCTGGATCTTTCATTCTTAAAAAGACAAGTAGCTCTTGGGGGGAAAAAAAACAAATACACCTCTTCAGTGTTCTTCTTCATTGATTTTATACTTTAAAGACCACTATTGCCTATAATTTTTCTTTAGGCCATAAGATTAGGAGCTGAAGGAGGCCATTTGGCACGTCGAGTCTGCTCCGCCAATGGAGATCATGGCTGATCTGATCATTTTCGATTCCACTTTCCTGCCTTTGCCCCCAGAATCCATGAATCCCTAATTGATTCAAAAATCAGTCTATCTTAATCCTGAATACACTTAATGACAGAGTCTTGAGAGTACTCTGCAGTAAAGAATTCCACAGATTCACTACCCTTCAAGGGAAGGGATTCCTCTTCATTTCTGTCCTAATTGGGTGACAGCTTACTCAGATTATGCTCTTTGGTCCTTCCACAAGGGGAAATAACCTCTCCATATTGACTCTGCGAAGCACCAACCTCCCCCGCACCCCAAAGAGAATGTTGTTTCAGTAAGTTTTCCTCTTATCCCAAGTCAATCCCCGAATATTCGGATTAACCCACTGCACCTTCACTGGACTGTTTCCAATGAACTTATATCTTTCTTTAGATAAGGGTACCAAACACTTTACGACATTCCAGGCGCAATCTAATTTTTGCCTTGCATAGCTTTAGCAATACCTTCTTTTATGCTCCATTCCATTTGAATTAAAAACCAATAATTCAGTTCCCTTCCCTATTAGCAGCTGTGTTGGTACGTGTATGCTGACGTTTTGTAAATAATGCATAAAAACAGCAAAACTCTTGTGCTGCAGCTTTCTCTATTTAAATAATAATAACCAGATCTTCTATTCCTCTTGCTAATGTCATGACTTCACATTTTCCCACGTCACATTCCTCATAGAAGAACACATAGAACTCAGAATACCTACAGTGTGAAAACAGGCCCTTCAGCCCAACAAGTCCACACCGACTCTTAGATCATCCCACCCAGACCCGTTCCCCTATAACCTACCTAATCTACACATCCCTCAACACTATGGGAAATTCAGCATGGCCAATCCACCTAACCTGCACATCTTTGGACTGTGGGAGGAAACCGGAACACCCGGAGGAAACCCACGCAGACACAGGGAGAATGTGCAAACTCCACACAGACAGTCGCCCGAGGGTGGAATCAAACCCGGGTCCCTGGCACTGTGAGGCAGCAGTGCTAACCACTGAGCCACCGTGCTGCCATTCCATTTACTAAGTTTGTGCCTAGTCACTTAACTTGCCCATATCTCTCTCCGTGCTGTCATTCTCACCATTTGCCTTCCCAACCATTTTTGTACAGTAGCCAAGTTTGGGATGGCACATTTAGTTCCCTCATCCAAGTCATTAATACACATATCCTAGTTCGAATCCATTTGGCACTCCACTAATTTCAGGTTCCATCCTGAAAATGTCCCTCCTTATCCCAACTGTCTTCTACTAGTTAGCCAATCCTCCTTCCATGCTAATATACTATTTCCCCACACTAAACCCTGAGCCTCTACCTTAAGTATCTTAATGTATACTGCCTATCAAATGCCCTTTGAAAATCTGAATATATTACATTACATCAACTGTTTCCCCTTTATCTATCCTCCTTGTTACTGCCTCAAAAGAATAATAATAAATTTGTCAGGTATGATTTTCCCTTCATGTCACCATGCTGACCATGATTACATTATGCATTTCTAAATGCTCTGCTATTAGATCCTTAATAACATACTTTATCCCAAAAACAGATATTAAGCTAACTGGCCAATAGTTACCTGTTGTCTATCCCCTTCCCTTTTTGAATAGAGGTGTTACATTGGCAGATAGCAAGAACTGCAGATGCTGGAGTCAGAGTCGATACAGTATGGAGCTGGAGGAACACAGGTCAGGCCACAGCAGAGGAGCAGGGAAGTTGACATTTTGGGCCTAGACCCCTCATCAGGACTAGAAAGGGTCTAGGCCCGAAACGTCGTCTCTCCTACTCCTCTGGCGTTACATTGGCAGTTTTCCAATTCTCCAGCAGTTTTGCAGATTCTAAGTATTTTTTGGAAGATTACTACCACAGTCTCCAGCTACTTCCTTGAAAATCATAAGGGCACATCCCATCAGCAGACTTATCGATCTTTGGCCCCATTAGTTTCTCTAGTACTTTTTCTCTAGGGATGGCTTTTGTATTTATTTCCTCGCCCCTTTTGCCCTTTGACTATTTTTTGGAATGGTATTATTGCCTTTACTGTGAAGACAGATGCAAAGTACTTCTTCAATTCCTGGTTCCCCATTATTTCACCAGCCTTGTTCTCTAGAGGCCCTACGCTCACTTCCCCAACTTCCTATCCATATATTTAAAGAAGCTTCTGCCCTCTGTCGTGATCTTATTTGCTCTAAGATTATTTTCTCTTTTTTGTCATCGTGTGTTTTTTTAAATTTTCCCAATCCTCTGTCTTACCACCGATCTTTGCCATATAGTATGTTTCTTCTTTTGGTGTGACGCTATTGTCAACTTTCCTGTTTAACCACGATTGGCTTATCCCCTTTTAAATCCTTCTTTTTCACTGGAATACATGTTTGTTGTGAGTTTTGAACTATTTTCTTAAACTTCTACCATTGTCCTTCAACCTTATTTGCTGCTAAACCCCTTTCCTAGTCCACTCCAGCTATTTCCAATTTCAGAGATAGTAGGAACTGCAGATGCTGGAGAATCCGAGACAACAAGGTGCAGGGCTGGATGAACACAGCAGGCCAAGCTGCATCATAG